TGTGCTTTACTAGATCTGTGTACTACACGTGCTACATCTGCAGCAACAGGATTGACCATTCAACTCATACCGGCTACACCCCACAGCACTTGCCCCACTGCCTGCCACACAGAGTGTAACAAATGCTCCAGTAGCCTCTGATCACTGGGAGAGCTTATGAGAAATACAAAATCTCAAGCTCACCAGACCAGATGAATCAAAATCTACATTTTAACCAAAGGACTCCTGTATGCATGTTCAAGTTTAAAAAATCATGCTAGGCTGAGTCATGGCAGCTGCAATGCCAGACCGGTCTGCCCAAGGACAGATGGCAGGAATTTGCAGCCCTCCCAACCTGAGTCCAACAACTCTATGCACTGTCTCCTCAGGTTCCTCACTGGCATGCTGTCCTAGAACACAAGGCAAAAACACAGGATGCTGTGACAGTCTGCAAAGTCAGCCACCAAATTATAGCCTTTTATAAACAGGGTTGTAACTCACACAACAACCACTTTATTTTAGACATCCTGCTGTACATATGGAAAACACTATATATATATATATATATATATATATATATATATATATATATCCTGTATTACAGCATCTATTTTATGGCTATTCATTTATTTATTCATTCATGTGATAAAAATTCTTGAGTATCTATAATATGCTCAACCTTACAAAAAGCACTGAGATTTGACACTGAAGAAGTCACAATCTTGTAGTCTAGTTGAAAAGACAGATGTTCCATGGAAGGTGCAATTGCAACAGCATGTAATGAGTTTGATGATAGGATGGTAGTAAATTCCTGCTCAGGAATCTGGAGGATCATCCCTGAGGGGTGACATTCTACCTATTTAATGAGAGGGAGCAAGTCTCCCTCATTAAATGGAAGGCAGGGACATAAGAAAGGCTCTGGGCATCCCAGGTGGATGACTCTGTATGGCAAAGAGAGCAAGGAAACGGGAGGCTGCATGTGCAAACAACCGAGGAAGCCCATGAATTTTGGCTCTTAGGAGGACAGAAGACTCAAAAGCCACTTATGCTAAGGAGCAATGGCTATTATCCTGGGATATAAGAAAGCCGTCAGGAGACTTTCAGTAAAAGACTCACGAAACCAGATGCACATTAAAAAAAAATTACTTCGCCCCTTACAACAATACACCATAGCTAATGTCTTTTGGTACAGTTTTAAACAATGCTCTGCAAACAGCTCCTTGCCACAATGAGAAATGGCACTGGAACAACTTTTAAAAAACACATTTAAAGTGATTTTAATGAACCTCCAATAACAGAACCGTCACTGAGATTGGAATGCAATCCTGTTATTGCCCTGTGTTTTTCTTGACTTAATAGCATGCATGAATCAAGCGCACTGACAGATACATGCATGCCTCTTAACGTCCCACAAGGCACACAGAACTTCACACACACTCAACCCAGGCCTTTCAGGAGTGGCAGATAATAAGAGGTAGGGAAGGGGAAATAGGAAATATAAAACCCTGGGGTGGGAACGGGACTCTAAGGCCCATATCTACAACATAAAACATATGAGCAGTTGAACCCAGTGGGTGAGTGGTGTACCCATTATTATTATAATCAATCCTCTGTATCCCCAGGTATCACATCCTCAGATTCCTCCAACTATGGATCAAAATGATTTTTAAAAAACTGTATCTCCCCTGAACTTGTACAGAATTTGTTCTTGTCATTATTCCCTAAGCAATACAGTACAACAACTATTTACATAGCATTTATATTTATCAGGCATTATAAGTGCTCTAGAGATGATTTAGAGTATGCAGGAAGATGTGTATAACTTATACGCAGATAATATGAATTTTATGTAAGGGATTTAAACATTTGTGGATTTTGGTATCTGCAAGAGATCTTGAAATGAATCCCTCACAGATGGGATAACTGCACTTTTAATTTAGTCAAAAGACATCAAGGGTTGTCTGCTTCCTCTTAGAGCTGGTGGTAGAACATTTGTAAGTATAGAGCCCAGTCTAGTCACAGTATTTTGAGTCATTGATAAACCCACAAGAGTCACAGTATTTGTAAGTATAGAGCCCAGTCTAGTCACAGTATTTTGAAAGTCATTGATAAACCCACAAGAGTGAAGTCAGGACGCTGGTCATTTGGAAGTAACAGTAAATGCAGAACAGTTGATACTTATTGAAGTCATTTCATCAACAATATCAAGATCTATCTTTTCTGGAACCCCTTCTATGAGCCAATCGTCTTGCATTCATTATCACTCAGCAGGAGCACTCACAAGAGTTGCCCAGTCAGAACGGACTTTGGCTGTCAATAACCAGCACTAATGGGAACTGGCTAAATGTCATCCTGGTTGGAATCATCAGCAATCCAGAGAGGACAAACAGTCCACAGGCCACATATAGGTCACAGATGTGTTTCATTTGCCCTGTTTTATGCTTAATTTTTAAACATTTCTTGCTGATACAGCACGAAACAGGGAGAATTTATCTAAAACCTTGATTTCCAGTTTCTTATGAAACTATGAGGATGAAATCAGGCTCAGCTTGTGCCAAACATCAGCAGAGCCTTTAGTTTCCCCAGCCTGCCTCTTTCCCTTCCACTATGTCTTCTAGCTCACAGGTCCTTTTTCTTTCTTCCCAGCACCCTCCAGACTTCTCTAGACATCTGAGTCAATGGCCTAGCACAGATGTCAACAGAGGCTGGTTCTCATTTCCAGAGGGGAAGGAAGGCCATGCTTAATATAGAACACTAGGCTCCACCCTGGAATTTCTGGTTCAGGAGGTTTACAACAGGGTCCTAGAAATGCATCTCTAGTGTTTATTTCACAGCATGCTGGCCCAAGGAATACACTTTGAAAACCACCAATCTACAGCCCCAGAATGAGACCCAAAGGCTCAGTGCTGGTGGGACTGGAGACGTTTGCATCTTTTCACTGGCCAATTAAGGAAAGGAGAAGATACACATTCTGACAACTCATAAATAGCCTACAAAAACTAAATGAGTTATGAGTTCCACCTCCAAGTTGCTATGTCCTGAATAGTCCTCTTCTCCTCCAGCTCACTTTTCGATATTTTTTCAAAATGGTTCTGTAAAAATGGCAATATTGTCCAAGATGTGCAGAGCCCTCCCCAACTCCAAATATGCACATGAACATTATCTTAAAAGAGCATAGGCAAGATGCCACATAGACCCACATTTGAAGGACCCCACACCCGAGACATTCATTACTGCATGATACTACTAACAACAATAGCAATCACCTATCCTGCTATGTACCAAGCACACAGAATGCTCTAAGGTCCTCTGACGTAGAAACTATTATCACTGCTGGAGTACAAATGATGAAGCAACGGATCAGAGAAGAGAACTGACTAGTCCAATTCCACCAGCTCTGGAGGAACTGACAGGTTGACTCACTTTATTTACTAAGGGTAGGATTAGGAATGTTGTGTCCAATCCCGTGTCTGTGTTTGAAGATGGATGTTGATGACCTACAGATTCACAGGTCCCTGGAAGTGGTATCAGAAAGAATCTGCTTGTAGGAGGAGAGGGGCAGAACTCAGCTTGAGCAGCACAGGATGCAAGAGGATGAGTCAGCAGCTGCACAAGTCCTAAGCATGCTCTACAGAGGCAGTGGCAGTTCTGGGGAGGCTGACTAGGTATTAATGCACAAGTTTGCAGCAGTTAGAAAGGCCACAAATTGGAACCGGCTGTTCTGTTCTAGAAGTCCTGGCTTCCCAACACTTGGAGATACTCAGGGCTCATCCAGGATGCTGCAGAGCTGTAACTTTACATCAGAAAAGAGGAAATGGGGCAGCACTGGGGAGATGTAGGACCCATCTGTGACACTTCCTTAAACGATGCGCCCTTTGTCTCTGGGCACTCCCGTAAGCCTCCAGGGGAGCAGGGCATATTTCCTCCCTTCACTACATCCTGGCTGAATGACCTTGAACACAGCACTTAACCTTTCCAGTCTCTACCTCCTCTTCCATAACATGGGGTAACTGCACCTGCCTTGTTAGGCTCATGTGAGGATTTAATTAGATGTTACATGTGAAGTGCTAAACATGTTCCTAGCACATAATAAGTGCTCATGCAATTAACAATTATAGTATCAAAATAACTAGCATTATCGCCTTCTTCATCTCAACACCAAGACCTTGCAACTTTAGGTTTCAGTGACAATGTTTATGTTCACTTTTCAGCCTCAGTAGGTGGTTGTACAACCCATAATAAAGTCACTGGGTCTACGCTTTACTTAATTTAACAAAGCAATATCCTCCTAACCAGAATCACAGCTCTGATTAATTCAGGTGCAAATTCCTCCTCCCTAACATTGACAAGTCCTCCCTGTTGGGCCTTTGGGGATGGAAAACCCTCCCCTCGGTGCAACACTATGGAGGAAAGTGAAGCTATTATTCTTGAATTGTAAGAGTTCTCACAAAGCCATGTCTACACCCCAAGATTCCAGTGGGGCTGTGCTTCAGGGCCATGCCAGCTTCTGTTTTACTCTCTTTCTCCTTGGGTAGAAGCTGCTGGGTGAATTATTTACTGACTCAGACATTGTAGTGTTATGTTTAAGAATTAAATTTAAATACTGTTGAGATAAACAACATGACCTTTTCAATGTCAGTATGAAGAAAAAAACGACACAGTTGAACCAAGGAAAGGAAGGCAGAATTAGATTCTTTATCACAGCCCCCAAATAGAACTGAACTCTGCTCTCTAAAGAACCCTCTCCAAAAGTTGTCAGCTGAGACAGTTAACAATAATTGAACTGCTACACCAAAAACTCAGTAGCGATTTTCTTTCCATTTATTACACAGGCCAGGCTGTGTGAATGGAAATCTCCATGTTTGCACCCAATAACTTCTAGCGCATAAATGTGAATGGCTGCATATATTCAAGTAAATGCACTGATGTCTACTCCCCAGACAGCATTCAGAGCACAGTGGACAGGAGAAAGAATGTGTTGTGTGTGAGGCCCCGACAGCCAGAGAGAACCATTTACTTACAGCTTTTGGTTTATAGGGAGGCTGGATCTCTTTGCGTTCAAGTTTCTCCCAATCGATATACCGGAAAAATGCATGCTCTTTGATGTCACGTTCGCCTTCAGGTCCACAGCCCAGACGTTTGCCTGGGTGCTTGGTCATCAGCTTTAGGAGAAAAAAAGATATTGAGTTAATGAATTTCAGAGGAAAAAAATATGAGAAGCTCAGAAATTATTATTCCAGTGGCGTAGGAAAGAAAGAGCAATGAAGAATTGCAACTAACTGTATTTTTAAGCTTTGCATCTCAGGAATAATTTCCTTAACCAGGTCTTGGTAGGAGGGCACCCTACACTAGTGTCTATTGCTACCTGCATTGGAATGTGATCTCTTGTGGTTAATCAGATCAAAGCCTAAATGTGGCTGTGAACTTCAAGCTAGAAATGTCAGAAAATCCATTTTGGCTTGAAACGGAGGCAATTACTGGTGTATCTAACGAGAACAGTTTCAATACCTTCAAATTCCTTGCTCCCACCATAAAAAACTCTGACATTTGACCAAAGCAAAGGATACATTCATTCAGATACTATTTGCATTTCTCAGTAAAGCGTTTGTGAAAATGACAAAACAGAAGAAAAATATTAGTTGAATGGACCCAAGTTTCAAGTAATTACTTTCAGAAAGCTCATTAAATAGTCAAAACCTAGCTTAGCTCATTTCCTTGTATCACACATTATACTAAACTCCACTGAGGTTTCTTTGGTGTTCTGTTTAAATTACTTAATTATCAAAACTCTCCATCTTTGGGTCTCTGAGCCAGTGCTAAATAACAAGATGAATAGATGCTCTGAGATGAAACCAGACAGGCTTCCTCTTATAAATGAATCCAAAGCAGCAGGAAAATATCTCTGATCGCAAGACTTCAGCAAGTGCAGAGAGTCAAGATGGAGTTTGGTGGTTTAAAAGAAGACTGACAAGAAAGCATCAAAAGAGAAAACAAAAGTAATTGGGACACACAAGCCCAAGACCCTCCTGGAATAGCCATGATTTTGCCCAGGACTGGCTGATTATGGGAAAGGATACATAGAAATACATACTTAGTATGGGACAATCAGCTTAGCCTGTTTCCTGCTTACAAGATAATTTATGTTCATATTTGTATTCATAGAATTTCCAAACAGAATTTATCTTCTGTAGGGAAAAATAATTAGGCCCTTAATGTTCTAAGCTAGTTCTTTATTACAGGCATGATCCTGTCTGATTGTTACAATAACCCCAAGGAGGTGGATCTGTTATTTTTCTCCTGTGAGAAGACAAGGCAATTGACACCCACAGAGGTTAAGCAACTGCAAAGACTCAGAGAGTTGGTAAAGGCTTGGATCCCTTTTGGCTTCACTGTAAAATATCGGTTTTTAAAAGAAATAGAAGAGTGTTTCTACTTCCTGTGGTTGCCCAGATATCTGTGGTCTGGCTTGATCAGAAAATGTTGATGGAGGGCAGGACTAATAATATCAGTAATGGTTTTGAGATACTGAGTATATTGTGTGCGTCCAACTTCTGTGCAGAAGTCTTCCCAGTCATTATTTATTTATTAGTCTTTACAACAACACTGTGAGGTTTAGCACTTACGTTCCCAATACCTATAGAAACTGAGTCCAGGGAGGTAAAAGCATTTGCCGAAGACATAGAGTCAAGGAACTGGCTTTTGAGAAGATCTGCCAGATCAGAATTCTAGGAGCTCCCTGCAAATCATTCTTCATTCATTTTCACTCTAACCTGCAACCAATGTGTTCATTTGCCAGCTATAAGATTGTTCCAAGTACACATGGCAACTGGAGCAGTTTTGTCATTTTTTATGGTAGAAAACAGGGTGTCTAATGAGATGGACACATAAAGGACCTGCTTCCATTGGGAAGATGACTGTTTTCAAAAACCTAGCTCAATTTCTATGCAAGCAGGAGGACGTCAAGCAAAGAAACACCACTGTAGAAACACCCAGCACTAATTCTGAGTCTCTGCCCAGTTTCCACATTCTGGTCTGAAGCCATGCAGACAGCTGGATTTAATCGCTGTTTCAATTTCTGATCACCTCCCAGATGCACTCCCTAGGGCTGCTATTTAGGAGAAAGTGGATGTCTATTTGCTTAGGCATCACCTCTTCTTCAGAATGTCAGCCTTGAAGAAACAACCCACACTGGACTTAACCCACTCAATTTAAAAAGGTACCCAAACCCAACAGCAAGGAAGTCACCCCAGTTCATCCTGAAGGTTATGGGTCCTGAATTAATAGAAAACTGTTCTACCAGGGAAACTGCTAATTGGAGCTGAAGCTGAATGCAGCTGACCTGGAAAATTCTCTCTTCTCCATGACCCATTTAGAACCCCCAGCTGTCCAGGCAGGGCAGGCTTGCAAAGAGGAAGGCCCTGAGCATGTGTTGAGCACCTACTATGTGCCAACATCATGAAAAAAACTTATTTTTATGTTACCTCATTCAATGAGTAGCTTTATTCCATTTTTTAGAGATTAATAAATGCAAGCCAGAAATACAAAGGAATTCTCTCAAGACCATGCATCTAAGAAGTGGAATGGTTAAGATTTGAAAAGTCCTTTGATTTTCAAAATCCTCCCACTGTAAAAATTCCTATTGCAGGGAATGTAAACTCAAATGCCAAGAGGAGCAAGGCATGGAACACAGAAGTGACGCATTGATAACAGTAAGAAAGCCCATGAGTTTCACAGCACAATGTCAAGCTCTGGTCCAAGTGTTTTATAGATATTAATTCATCAAAGGACCTTATGTGTGATGCTATTATTGTCCGAAATCTGCAAATCAGGTCAAACAACTTCCCCATGAACACATAGCTAATAATGCCTGGACCTGGATTTGAATCCAGCTGGAATTGGGCCAGATGGGTGTTTTTGAAAATTGGAGAGAGCATGGCCCACATAAAGGAGGCAGGGGTTTCTAATTCAGTTGATTGATGTTCTGCAGAAATGACAGGCCAATGTGTTAAGATTTGATTTTTCAAGAGAAGCTGGAAAGCTGAATGTTTACGGGAAACCCCCTAATCTTTAAATGCTGGAAAATATTAAACAAACTAAAATGGCAATGAATAACTTCTTTCCACTATTTCCCCAATGAAATGTCTGTGAGGCTATGCACTGGCCTTTGTCTGTGCCTTCTTTTATCTACAGACTTTGTGCACTTAATGAACTCCTGGGTCTCTCCTCTGTTCCTCATGTTTCCTCTCCCTGCCTCTCACCTTCAAAGAAAGTGTTTTTAACCAATTCACTTTGAGATATTAGAGTTTGAGACTAATTCACATGTGATTTCCCTAGGGATATTTGCATCTTAACCTGTATAGCAGAAACAAAAAGCTTGTGGGAATTTAGGCAGTGTGACAAGGAGGTTGCTTTTAGGCTGAGAGGATGGCCCAGTTCTTCTAATCTGGGCCAAGCCTCAGTCTTGATTGCCTGATTATTTCAGCTTTCTTTAACTAAAGTCAACTCCTATGGAATATGACCTGGATGAGAAAGAATGAGTTGTGTAGGGTATGGGAACTTTCCAAACACACCTAAGATCTAGGTCTGGTCCAACACAGAGACAGGAACCCACTGTCAAGGAACAGCCAACTTCTAACCTTGAAAACTTGCCTGCACCGCTGGTTGGCAGCACAGCAAATCCTTTTGAAAGGCATCTTCCTTGGGCCATATTTTCTGAGAATCTCATAATGTTGCTTTCACACTTCCATCAGAGTTGAAAGATTACTTCACTTGACAACACATTTAAAGGTAGTGGTTTTCAAGCCACATGGGGACTTTCTCAAAATACTGCAATACCCAGACTTAATCTTTGAGGTGAGGCTGAGGCCTACGCATTCTGAAAAAGCACTTTGAGTCATCTGATGGCTCCAAAGTGAGGATCACAGATCTCTAGGGTCTCACACAGGTCGCCATGAGCACAACTGGGTCCAACATAAGATCCATAACAAATAATTCTTACCTAGAAACTTACGTCAGCTTTCTTCACAAATGCAATTTGCTTATGTCACAGGTGTATGACTATGCATGCTTTATGTGCATCATGGTATTTCAGGAAGGGAATAATAAGTTTGGGGACATGGAATTTGGGTCAGCTTATTAGAGAATACCTTATGATCACTCTTGCTTGATTTTCTTAGAACATAAATTACACACGCTTAGTATTAACAAGACACTGCTGCAGAACAAGTTACATAGAGTCCTCCCTTCTCCCACAAGCTCCAGTTCTTAAACAAAGTCTGTGTTTCCTACCTCACTCACTCATTAAGCATTCCCCTGGACTGGATCAGGAGCTGGAGCCCAGCCAGCAGCAAGGTGCAGCCGCAGCTGTGCCTCTACAGTGCTTCTGTGTAAACTAGAACAGCTCTCTTTGTTGTGGTAGGCAAGTTCCATTTCAAGGTTCTGATGTCAGCAAGTCGAGTGAAAAGTAGAGTTTTGTCTCTGGTCCCCTAAGTGGGGCACGATTTATATACTTTGTATGTGGTAGTTTTGGGCATGGCTTTACGGCACGCACTTACCCCTTTGCAGATGGCCACAGCTTCCTTGGACATAGACTTTGGATACGCCACGTTGTGTTCCATGATGGACTGGAAAAGTTCATCCTCATCTTCTCCCTCGAATGGGGCCTGAAGGACAGAGGGCAGGGTGGGAGAAGGGTTCCTGCCTTTGCCCTCCCCCAATGGCCTCTAACCTGCAGGAGGCCTTCCTCTCTGGGCCCAAAGTGAGGCCATATTACAGGGTTTTTTAAAAGGGAAAAAACATCTCCAACATACTTGGGTAACCCCAAGTCCAGGAAAGTCATAAAAGGTCAGATTTATGAACTGTGACCAAGTTATCAGAAGCCATGTGGATTCAAGTAGAGGAAGATTTCTCTTACAGTTCATTTAACATTAAATTACCTGCCCAGCCAACATTTCATACAGCAGGACTCCGAATGCCCACCAGTCCACAGACTTCCCATAAGGCTGGTAAGCAATTATCTGGAAAACAGAAAGCATTTGTCAGGAAATCTCAGTTTACACAGCTGGAGACTGAATTCACACTTCTCTTACCATAAGAGTGGTCCTTCACTAGGGTGGGACGGGCAGAGAGAGCATGTCACCTACCTACTATGAAATAGTGGCATTCAGAGTCCAGAGCAGGCAGAATCTCAAGGCACAGATAGGAAGGTCATGTCCATATGAGCTATTTTCTCATTTGGGCTACTCAGGGAATGATGAGAAAGCTTTACAGATAAATCTGCACCCAGGCAAACATCTGTCCATATCATGCTGTCTTTTTAAGCCCTCAGTGTGGTGTGGTGGGTACGTGTTTGTGGGTATTGATATGTGTGTGTGTGTGTGTGTGTGTGTGTGTGTGTGTGTGATTTCAAAACCTATGTATGGCTTTTGAAAGAAGCTAAGGTATTCCTGCTTCATTGTACAAACTATATGTATAGATAATGTGATAAATTTTGTGGTACGTAGATAGATAACACATGTTTAGAAATGGTTAAGATGCCATGTGATTTTTAAAAACCATAATTAAAAATAAAAACACTTTAAGAGTAATATTTCTCACTATTTTACTATTTATTTAGAAAGTACAGATAAGCTAAGAGAATAAAATAAAAATCACTTGCAATCTTTTGTCAAGAGAAAAGTATGTCTAATATTTGGTTTATCTGTTTCTAGACTCTTTTCTATGAATATATATTAAACTGCATGTGTGTGCGATTTACATAAGCATAAATGCTCTAGGAAGTGGACCTTTAATAAAGTGCGTGAGTCACTTAAGTTCTCCTTAATAACATTTGTACATTGACAATATTGGTTTTTACCTCTGCATATATTTCAGTGGATGGATGTACCAAAATCTAGCTTTTTAACTCCCAATTACGTTTGTTCTGATGCTACAAATATATTCTTTTAATTACATATATGGACGTCTGTCCAATTATTTCCATAAAATAAATTCCTAGGAGTAGACTAGTGGACTACTAAGGCATTTGATGGAGAAGTCTAGTAGGTATATGGCTGTCTTCCTTTTAGTATGTATGGGTATCAAAACATCTGTGTCAAACAGGTGTAGAGATGATAAAGGTCAAGGCTGAGGTTTATGATCAAATTGTCTAACTCTAACACCTGATTTTTATTTAACAAGTACATGACCTTGAGGGAAGCTATGTAATTACTTCTAGCTTCAGTTTCCTCTTCCACAAAATGAAATTTACCACAATATCTGTGTCACAGGGCTTTTTGGGGGATGAATGATATACCATGGACTTCTCACATACTATGTTCTCATAGCGTTAGCATTTACTAGAATGTTCTCTAATTCAGTAGTTGCTTATTCTTCACAATAAAGAAACAAAGCTGACTATAAAGTGAATGGCTATTTCTCAGACACCATTTTCCAACCCTACCTGACTCTAAAAGTAGAAATCCAGAGATGTTGATGGGAAGATACAAAATTTCAGTTAGATAGGAAGTGAACACCCAAAGAATCTAAAGTACAATGTGGTGACTACAGTTTATAACAAGAAATTGTATTTTTTCTTTTTGAAAATTTTTGAATACTGAGGATTGAACCCAGAGCCTCTGCACTGAGTTACATTGCCATCCCTTTTTAGTTTTAAGACTACATTGTCCGTGTAAGACTTGAACTTGTGATCCTCCAGCTTCAGCCTCCCTGAGTGCTACTGGGATTACCGGCATGCAGTACCATGCCCAGCTATGAATTTTTTTCTTGATAATTGTTGAGTGTAGATTTTAATCATCTTCACCACAACTGTATCTATAGTTCAGAAATATTCTGCATATGACAAGTAATATATGCACTTTTTCTTTGCCAATTAAAAATAAATAAACAAATAAAAAGCAATGCACTCAGAGGAGAAGTGCAAGACTAGAAAGCCTTCAGTGAGAATACCTCTCATTGAAAGTGTTTTCACACTTTTAAGGTACTTCGCACCTCATGACAATCCAACAAGTTGATCCTTTTACAAAGGAAAATAGCACCTGGGAGGAGAAAAAAGTTGCCAGAGGTGATGTGGTTAGTTAACAGCAAGGCTTGACAAGCTCTTGGCATGTTGTTCCTAATCCTGGGCTAGAAGAGGAGGTACCTCAGGCATCATGACTCATGGCAAATGACTGAAAAATCACAGATCCCTGGCCCCACTGTACAGAGACTCTCATTCAATAGATCTAGGGTGATGGCCAGCCCGGCTACATTTTAAAGGCTTTTCCCATGACTTTAAAGTGCAGAGAGAGTTAGGTATCAAAGGTTACTAAACACATGGGATACCCGGGAATTGCATTATAGTTCATGTCTGATGCGCCAACTAATGAATCAAATGATAGCTCATCAAAGGATGCCACATAGGGAAAATTCTTCTCCGTCCTAATAAATAAATGGCCTTTGAAAAGTTTACCTTGCTGTTATTCAAGAAATACACAAATTTACCTTGTAGAAAATGTAAACAGTATACAGATGGGATGACATTGTTCTTTACCAGCTCTTATCCTAGGAGGCCATCAATGTTGTAAAATCATTCTTCTGCACATGCACATATGCACATATGCCTACTCATTGAAGACACATTGCAGTGTTCTATATATTACTGCTATTGCCCACAACTGGTATCATGTTGCATTTATCGTTCTCTACCCAGATTGTTTTCTTTTTACAATATGTTTTGGAAATTTCTGTTATGTACGTGCATATCTAACTCATGCTTTTGAAATGATGCCTAGATTTATTTTATTTTATTTTATTTTATTTTTGTGAAGTACTGAGAAATGAACCCAGGGCCTCACATACACTAAGCAAGTGTCCTATTGCTGAGCTATATTCCCAGCCCTGCTACAAAAATTTTATTTTGCGACCAAGGCTTGCTTAATTACCTAGCCTTGAAACCCACTACTTCAGCCTCCTGAGTAACTGAGGATTACAAGTGTGGGTCACCACATCCACCAGAGTAGATTTTATACTAAATAAATGATAGTTTATTTCTGTTACTCCTATTGAGGGGTATTTTTTCACATTAATGTACACAGGTGTACTCAGACATTTCTAAGGGCTTCACAGGATTTTCCAATGTGAATATAGTACATTTTAGCTAATTTTTCCTTTACTGATAGATTTTGAGGTTGACTTCTATTTTTTATTATTAAAAAAATGGGTGAAGGAAGGACTTTGAACACACATCCCTCCACCTTTATGTATCAGTTCATGTCTATATGCATGCGTGCGTGTGTGTGTGTGTGTGTGTGTGTGTGTGTGTGTGTGTGTGTTGGTAAACTAGCTAAGCTCCTGGTAAAGAAACTTTTTTGAGACAAGAGAATGCGGGTTTTAAAGCTCATGTCAAGTTAATTAAACAGGGATTCTCATTACCATTGTTACATATCAAGTGACTGACAGGAATTTTAGAATGTCTTTTTCCAAGATTCTATGCCAGGTCCTCAGTTACAGAATTCCAGCTACAGATTGCATCATACCACCTTTCCAAGCATCAATTCAGATAAAAAAGAAAAAATTTCCAGGCACAAATTATTGTCCTATGTCATGTTGGGGGAAAAAATTCATTCACTGACCACTTCCTCCTGGAAGAGTAGGAAGAAACTACAAATAAATCTTAGTCTTTCATTTGTATCTTTAGCACAGGAAGAAAAATCTGGATTCTCCCAGGGTTTATCACAACTGCTACATACACAGTACACAGCCCTGTGTCATATGTCAGCCTGGAGAATCTGTTCTCTCTGTCTCTCTCTCAACAAACATTTCAATGTCATAATTAGGAGGTATCATATGGCCACAAGCCATAGCAGCTTGATGAAGAATTTTACTGATGTGTGTTGGATGGTTCTTTTGAGTTTTATTTAAATTTCCTTGCAAATCTTGATGTATTTTAGGCCCAAGCTTCTGGATGTATGCTAAATTAATTTGAATGTGTGATCTCAAAGGAACGATTTAGAGTATAGGATGAGGACCAATTTGAGGTACTACCCTCAACCCTTCCCGGTTCTCACATGGCCATCTGGAGAGCAGTGGGAGATACTGTCACAAGGTGGAATGTGTGTGAGGCATCCCACCAGCTCTCACCTCGGGGGCAATGTAGTCTGGAGTGCCACAGAATGTCTTGGTTGTCACCCCATCCCAGATGTTCTCCTTACACATGCCAAAGTCAGCAATCTTGATGTGGCCCTCAGAGTCCAACATCACGTTGTCAAGTTTTAGGTCCCTGTAGCAGATAAGAACATATGATTTATTTAAGTGTTAATTATTTCAAGCCAACCATTGGTTACTTATTGTATACAAAACACTGTGCTAGGAGTTGTCGGGTCACAAAGGTAACTGTAAACCAGCCCTTGTCCTCTGGTAGCTTAAAATCTGGCAGTGAAAGAGATCCCATAAACCTCTGTGCTTTCTACTGAGTGAGCTGGGCCATGTCTCATGAAGACACAGGGAGACGGGAGTGCTACGGAAAGAGAAAGATTCACAGATTAAACTAAGGTCACAGCATCTAAAGAGGATTCTTATATCCAGGAGAAATTCAAGAGTCAAACTTTGCAATTTTATGGATCCCTTATATGTTGTAAGACTGTATAATTTCCATAAAATTATTTTTGAAGTATCTCTGAAAATTGCAGTGAGAAAAAAAAAGATGGAGAGAACTTGTTTAAATCCAACTGCTTCAGGTGTTTTGAGGCCACTCCCTGGAAAATGACCCATGAGTTTCCGTTAATTCTTTCAGTCAAAAAACACTTGTTGCACACTTACATGTGGCAGGCACTATGCTTGGAACTAAGTATATTAGCTATGAAAAAGATAAATAAGCATGCTGCTCTTACTCAGATTAAAATCTACTGCAGGCAAAGGATAATTAACAAGTACTCAAATCTGCAAGCATGATTACTATGAATTCTGATAAGTGGAATGCAGGAAACAAAGAAGACAAGATAGTAATGGGAGACAATCGCTTTAAATAGGGAGTCAGGAAGGACATCTTTTAGGCAGTAATATTTGAGCTTTACCTAAAGAATATGTGTTATACTTCTCAGGTGAAGAAATACAAATGGCAAATAAAAACATGAAGACATGTTCACCATCACTGGTCATTTGAGAAATGCAAATTAAAACAACACTGAGATTGCATCTCACTCCAGAAAGAATGGCTACCACCAAGAAATCAACTGATAACAACTGTTGGCAGGACTGTGGGGAAAAAGGAACACTTCTTCACTGCTGGTGGGAATGTAGGCTGGTAAAACCACTGTGGAAATCAGTGTGGAGATTCCTCAAAAAGCTAGGATTGGAAGTCCCACTCAATCCAGCTATTTCCCTTCTGGGTATATTCCTTAAAAATTGAAAATATCATGCCATGACGATTCATGTTCCCCCATGTTTATAGCAGCACAATTTGTAATAGATACATCTTGGAAACAACCCAAATGCCCATCAACCACAAAATGGATAAAAAACATGTAGTATTTTTATACAATGGAGCATTACTCGGATATAAAAAAATAATCTTGAGCCTTTTATAGGTAAATGGAGGCAACTTGAGACCATATTTATAAGGGAAATAAATCAAAAGCACGTTTATTAATCTCCCTAGTATAAAAAAATAATAAAAAATAAAGGGCTGGAAAAGTAATAAGATCCAAAATGTATAATAGATATGGTAATAATGAAAGGGAAAGAATGTGATAAAAAGGGAAGAACAAATGGGATGGGGAGAGGATAAAAGGAAAAGATTATGTTGATAAACATATATCAAGGTATGTGTGCATTTGTATGCGAGACAGGTAACTACTATCAACCTCTGTTAGTTCATCAAAAAGAACAGTTTGTGGTCTCCTTGTTTGTTTATTTTTGTGCCTAGATCTTGTAATCTGAACAACTACTTTTAAGATAACAATATGCAATACATTAACTAGTATTAATTCCCTGTTTTTAAAATTCTGTATCTTTTTATCTGTTTTGCTTTTTAGAAAAAAGAATATGTGCTACAATCTCATTCTGTTATTTCAATTTATGTTGATGAGCAGAACTTGATTATTTTAGGGAACACCTGCATGCCTCTAGCATATAAGATCACCTTAATATCAATCATTTCCTTCTAAACATATATTCCAATGTTAACTCCTTGTGTTTCAACATCAGGATAGTCTATGGGTCAGACCAACTCAGTCTTAACAGAAGATGAAGAACAATTTCCTTAGGAGAGCACCTACTCCCCAATTCGGGGCTCTCCCATAAAGCTTCTTGAATAGGTGTGGTTGCCTGTGATTTCTGTTTATTTAAATATCTTGGGATGAAGCTACCACTTCCTGATTCTCAAAACATATTTGGCCCTAACTTCTGGCCCCAGAAACAGGCACAAACTTCTCTGGCCAGAGGAAATACCACATCTTGTTGGCTATGGTGATGAGCTCAGAAATGGCCATGTGACCCAGTATATACTTATAAAAATTCTGGCAACTTTGCAGGCACAATCCAGAAAGAAGTAAGTTCTTTTTAACATTTAGTTTGGATGGGATATAAGGATAGAGGTTTAGGTGATCGAAAATAAACCTAGAAGCTCCATGGGTCACTTGAGGAGATACCAGAGGTAGTAAAAACAGCTTAGAGGGTGAGTGATAAAACAACTCATATAACATCATTTAAACCCCTGCACCCATCCAGGATGAAGTTCAGGCCTGGACTTTTCAGTTATGAGGGCCGATAAATGTCTCTTAGTTTATGCTAGTTTGAATTGAGTAGCTATCATAACTTCCAATTAAAAGGACACACGCTAAAAATATATCCCTGCACCTCTTATCTGATTCTGTAAACTATTTGCACCCTCTGCTTACCAACAGCAACATTCCTTTCCTGTCTTTTGTGCTGTCCATAGTCCCGACTAGGGCTAGCCTTCTTGCTATACTCCAAAAGCCATGCTGGAACTCAGAAATGCTAGATTTACAGCAACTTCTGTCAACATGCTAGTTCTATATATTACTTCATTAATAATACCACATAACATCGTCTCCGGCTGACCACATGCCCAGAAACAGGCAGTGAGTTAATTAAATTAGAGAAAAGATGTCTCTTTTTGTAATAGAAAAGGAGTTTCAGGTGTCAAAATTCAGAAGGTCCTGCAAGAAGAGGTGTGAGGGGGGTACCCCAGGTATATTCATTGGCATATAGCAGTGCTTTAGCATTACACTGTATTCTTTTGTTCCCTTGTAATAAAGTCTTCATTTCTGATTCAACAGGAGGCTGCCGCAATTGTCTTCATTTTTCAGAAATCCATTAAGGCCAAAATCAACACATAATTCAGAGATAATGATCAATAAATCACACACTAAGTTTGGCAAGAAGGACTCCCCCCCTTCCCTCCCCCCACACACAATATCTAGCAATGTTTCTCAGGAAAAGGATGTCTAGCATAATTCCTTATCCTCTTTCCTTAAGAAAAGTCCAATTAACTACAGAGTTAAATGAAGACTGGTTTGTAACATTTTAACAAATTTTACCACCATGAATACGATCCTTATAAAATTCGAAAGCTATACATCTTTTGTAATATAATTTTTATAGCTTTCATTTGATTAGCAATTTCAGGAATTCTGTCTCAATTGAGTTTCTTGATGGTGAAGAGCAAAGACTAACTTTCAAGATTTTGATCTGGAAAAGAACCTATAAAAAGACATTGAAGTGCTCATGAAATCTCTAAAGAAGCTGGAGAAATATCACCCATTGTTCCATGAAGCACTAATGCTAGACTCTTCAGGATGCTGCCAAGAACCACATCTCGCGCCTGTAGAAACTACCCATATCTGATTACTATGGTCACACTCAATTCTATCATCACAGTTCTTTGGTCATAATTTATGACTCAAGACTGGATCTCAGCTGGGTCATGCCATTGCTACAGGGAGGGTAGGAAAATAATCATTGGGCTTTCCAATCTCTCTAGTAGGAAATGAACTCTTCTTACAAAGGAAAAGTGGTTTTGATGTTGATTGTGTTAAAATATTCACAACTATCCCATTAAAATCATATTAATAGTGGAAAGCAAAAGGGGCAATGTGTGGTTATGTTGGGAGAAGGAGTTGTGGAGTAAGTATGGTCTCAGGATTTGAAATCGTAATTTTAGGGTTTTAGTATCTGACTGACTCAGGCCTATACTCACATATGTCAAGTCCCAGTGTCCCTGCTAGACTGGACACTAGCCATAAATCTCACCTCAGTTGACAAGAGCTCTATTTATTTCTTTTCTAGAATCCTACTCTATGGCTGGATTTGCTTCCACTACAATTGCAGTTCCACATTTAATCTCATGAACCTGGTTGCTTCTTTTCATTTAGAAGAACATTCTGCAAAAGAGTTTGGACCTAATGTTACCATATAAGGTGAAAATCATGTAGAATGAAAAATTGCCCATGATCCCTGCTTTTTTGGTAAAGCACAATTGATGTCATTGGTTTGAATTTAGGGGTCACATCAAATGAAAGGAACCAGAAATGCAATAATCAGATCAAAGTCATGAGAGTTGATTTTTGTGGTTATCAAGTAACAAGACCAGAAACACATTCAGCACAAGAGGATCTCACTTTGACAGTGGAAAGGGCAACGGAGGAATCTGAGGTCCCAAATATCCTATTTCATGTTCACATAGTGGTACATGTTCACTGAAGGCAAGCATGGATAGATGATAGTACTATTTAAAATCTGGATTATTTTCACTGGGATAACCTATGAGATAGGTGAAACTTCTTGACCTTCATCCCTCCATTTTTAAGAGACCACAGGGACCACAGGGCCTCTGTGTGCTCAGACTAGTATCACCCTCCATCACAGATTTCATAGTACCTCTTCCAAGAGTGACTAAAACCCCAGCACTCTGGAAGCATCTTACAAGGCCCCCATTTTTGAATCCCACCAGTACCCCTAGCCATATCTCTGCTAGTCCTCCCTGTCCAGAAAGTGCCTGAGCCAATCTTTTCATGCCTTGGTCCCATGTCCTTCAGTTGTAGCAAGATTCTCAAGACTCCCCTGACTCTCCAGACCCTGAGGAGCATGCTGTCTACAGAATGAGAGGCAACCATCCACCACCCAGCACGCTCCAGGTCTTTTCCTTGCTTGATTTATCTCCTGGGCACTATACAACCACTTGATAGATTAAATTTTTATGATTAACTAACTTAGCAGTCTCCTGCCAGTAGAATATAAGTTCCACCAGGATAAGAGTTATGTCTTTTTCTCTTTCCTGTTATATTTCCCCCAACCAGAGTAGTACCTAGCACATAGTAGCTTTGAGAAATATTTTTCAATTGCATTAATGAAATAGATTTTCATGGCTCTTCAAGATCTTTTAAATAGACCCTCATTGATGCCAAGAACTATTTGGAAGCCCCATGCCCCTGCCAGCCCCTCTTGTATAGCAAATCGCCAAGTTTTGCTGCCTGTGCCATTTGCATCCAGGTACCATGTGGAGAATCGTATGCCCTGGACTCACTGACAAACAGCAGCCTTGAGCTCAGTAGTTTGCCTTGCACAAAATATAAAATGGTATGACTCATACAGCTATGATCATATACTTGCTTCTTCAAAAACCGGCAAATGCCAAGTTCTGAGCTTAATCCTGTCTTTCATGGCAAGCCACTCAGAGATCCATTTCCAAATTGTAGTTACATGCAAAAAAATTTTTGTCTCATAATGATATGATCTACTGCATTCTTCTGCCAAGATTCTTTGCTTGCTCTCTAAATGTGGGGGTCCACAAGCAAGAGAAGGAATTATGAAGGCCCTGTTGATAGGACTCTTCCTCTTAAAGCAAGTCATCTCATGTTTGAGATCCTAAATCATCATTGGTGACACTGTCTATCAAAATTTTTTCTGTCATCATATAGAGCTACCCAAACTTTGCCAGGGCAGTGGGCGATGCTGCCTGGCAGAACACATGCCCAAGTTAGTACTGGAGGATTCCTCCCCCACCATGGGATCTAATTTTAAAAGCAGTTGAAGAAAGAGGCAGGGAAGGGAGGAGCAGAGGGAGAGGAGATAGAAAGTATAGCAGTGTTCACTTACCGGTAAATGATGCCCTTGCTCTGTAAGAAGAATAGACCGATTGCAATTTCTGCAGCGTAAAATCTGAAATTAAAAAAAAAATGGAGAAATTCAAGGACACTGTATGCTTGACAATGCTCAGAATTCAAGATAATATTGAATTAGGTGCAGGGCATTAAAGTCTCACCATGAATGGTCAGCTACACTTCTGATAAAAAGCTGAGAGTACGGATGGATGAGCAAGGTGATTTAAGGAACAATGAGTCTGCCTTGAGGACAAACTGGATGTGAGCAAAGGCTCAGCAATTTCCCAACAGGGAGGGCACCATGGATGGACTGGATCAGGAATAATTTCACACTGTTGCAAGTTTCAATATTAAAAACAGTTAACATCTGTTGAAGGTTCACCATCTCCTGAGCACCATTGTAAGCATTATTTGATTAATCCTTAATTAGAGTTCCATGGCATCAGTCCTGCTAGTACTCCTTGGTCTTTAAATGAGGAATCTAAGGATTGGAGCAATGAACTCTAAGATGAGCGTGGTCAAGTTGGTGACAAATGAAGGACTCAGTCAGCACTGGAAATAGTGAGTGTTTAAAGTGCAACCTAGACACACACAAATTGTTGCCAGAGAGAAGATGATGTGAGAGAACTCAAAAGCCCAGCCATATCACAAGGGTTGAGCATGGCTTTGGGGAACTACATTAAGTTCTCATGATATGTCTCATACAATGAATTAAAACTGTGGTCAATTCAATTTCATAAATAAAAGAAGCAACAACTCTAAGGTTCCACTAGAATTGAGCCAAGAGATACAAATGGCTGGATTGGGAAGCACAAGAATAATGCAAATCCTACCAGAACACAGTGCTCACAACCTTGGCATGTGGGAGGAGAGGGAACAAGATGGATATAACAGGAGCCAGATGTCTGGGATGATGGAGTGGGGTTCTAGACAGACCCTGGGAACTTTCTGGAGGGGCAACAGGATCTCAGTCACTCCCCAAGACAGGGTATCAATGCTATTTCCTGTCACTTGCTATGCTTCTGTTCATTCACAGGTTCTAAGCAGGAAAGTAACATCATGAGATTTTTGGGCTAAAAATAAGAGACTGAGGCTGGCTTGTGGACTGAAAGGAACAAAATGGACTAGCAAGAGAACAAGTTTCCAAAAATCTAGAATCAATTACCCTATTCCAGGAACCACAGAATACTGCCATTATTTGACCTGACCCTTCATCTATCTTTCTGGAGTGAAGACATTTAAGAGGCAGGGTGGTGTAGGGGATGGAACACTGTGGTTCAGAATTCTGGATCCTCTTCACACTAAATTAGGGATTCAGACAGAGCAAGTTTCCAAAACCCTCTGAATCTCAGTCTCCTTGTTTGCTAAGCAGAGATGATAATAACCTACTTGCTAGTGTTATTCTTGGGATTAAATGAGATCATGTTTATTAAGTACTTAGGGTCTGGAACATAGTAAGCTCTCAATAAATATTAGCAAATAAATAAACAAATTCCTCATTGACATTACCCAAGGAAGCTATGAGACTTCCTCCGGAACCAGGGGCAAGAATTATAGATAAAGCATCGGCAATGGCTCTAGATTGCTATGTTGTCGGCAGTATGAGGGTAGTCGAATCTACCAAGCAGAACACCTTTCTCCTTGGCCAAATATTTCTCATGAAGAAGAAGACTCAGAAGCTTACAAAATCTATCTTTGGCTAAAATCTCAAAGGAACTAACAACCCGTATTCATCCCAGGGAGAAAGCACAGTGAAGTTCATGCTTACACAGCGTGAGGCTCCTTGAATCGGCCAACCTGTTGAATGTGGTACATAAGATCACCCCCATTCACATACTCCATCACGAAGTACAGGCGGTCCTAAAGAAAGAAAGCAAGGGCCGGAATCAGCATCCTGTGATTGCTCAAGCTCCATGCGGAGGGCAGCAAACACCTGAGATTTACATCAGGACCCCTAAGACTCTGACAGATCCCTGCACATGGGGCCCAATATTTCCTTAAGGGTAAAATCTGCACCCCTGAAAGAGACACACAAGTGAGAGGTTAGACACAAACCATGACTTCATTAACAATTGTAGACTTAAATCCACCTGTGCAGGAAAATTTAGTTAGCACATTCACCTTGTGATTTAACAGATACTACTGTTTTGGGTAATATTAATTGTAGCAAAACAATGAAAATATTAAGAAATAATATTATGGTCAATAGGTAGCTAAGAAAAAAATCCTCCATGCTGGCCTTCCAATGATTTTTCACTTCCTCATATTCACAGTCTTGAATTATACCTTCCTACTATGAGTAGGATTGATTTTTATAAAACCAATAGGGTGCATGATATCTGGGACCTGGCCATAAAGGATTTTGCAGCCTCCACGCTCTCATTTCTTGGGTTACTCATTGTAGGGAAAGGCAAGGAACGGAAGCCTCCTGCCGTCTGCTAGCACCACTCCTCACTCACGTAAGTGAACCAACTACCTTGGACAGGTTGCGCTGGTGAAGCCTTCAGAGGACTGTGGTTCCAGTTGGCCATTTGATTACAACTTCATTTGAAATCCAAAGCCAGAGTCTCTAGGAGGTTTAGCCTTGTTGTTTTAAGCCCCTGAGTTTTGAGATATTCAACAATAGATAGCTAACACAGTGGCCATCAAAAGCCAAACAAAACAAGAATTATAAAAGTTTACAAAACAGTAGTCTAGGGGCTGAGGGTTTAGCTCAGCGGCATAAGCACCTGCCTTGAAAGCAGGCAGTCGTGAGTTCGATCCCCGGTACCGATAAAAAGGAAAAAGACAAAAAAAAAAAAAAAAAAAAAACAGTAGTCTAGAAAGACAAATTCAGGAATTTAAAAAAAAATTGGAGACCAAAGAAAATCTGTATCCTATTAGGAAATTTTTCTCACTATATCTTTCAAGAGATATCATAAACTCCTTCAAGACAAGGGCCATGTTCTCTTTGGCTGTAAAACAAGGCTGTTCTTGTTCAAAGACTAATGCATAGTAGGTACCCAGACAGTGAAAGAGCACAGGCTTTAGTGTTAAAAAACTACATGGATACCTCAACTTGCCTCCTGATAGCTAGGAATAAGTAGGTTTCATCATCTACAAAGTGGTAACAGTAATAGCATCAGTCTTCATTGAGATTCAGTGAGACAGATGGGTATCATGCTCTTCAAGGGGCACCTACCTGTGATTGGCTTTCTCTTCTTCCAGAAAGGGGTGTTTGTTAAATGAATTAATGAGTTCATCTCTTCTTGGAGACTTTTGCTTAAGATAAATCACTCCTTTATGCTGCTTTTCTTTCACTTAAAAATGGCAGGGTCTGCACTAACTATTTGCAGGGAACTAAAGTCCCCCTCATGTTCTCAGACTAAAAAAATCATTTCCTTTAACTCACCCAATCTAAATTAGTTCTGCTTGTTATATTCTTTCATGAACTTCATGGTTGTTTCTTCCCTCTGATCACATCATAACTTGTAATTATATATTTAACTGTGTGATTACTGATTTAATCTATTTATTCACTAATTAATTAAATCAAAAATATTTATAAAGCCCTACCAAGTAATACAGGTGCCAGGGAAAGCAGTGAACAAAATCAACAAAAATGTCTTGCCTTTATCTTTCATTTCGGTTCAAGTGACAGAGATTAAAATAACATCAACAGCTGGTTGTAGTGATGCACACCTGTAATCTCAGTATTCAGAAGGCTGAGGCAGAATCATGAGTTTGAGGTCAGCCTACGGTACATAATGAGTTCAAGACTGTCTTGAGCTACATAGTGAGATTCTGTGTTAAAAATAAAAACAAAAACCCCACAACCTCCCCCCAAAATCAAAACAACACTAGACATAATAAATGCATTATTTATTCATTATAAGGCAATAAGTATTATGGGAAAATAAACCAGATTAAGGGGTACTGGAGATGGCAGCTTAGATGAGATGAAAGAAAATACTTCTAATTTTAATATTCAGGGTATAACTTGTTGTTAAAGAGGATGCTTCAGCTAATATTTGAAAGAGGTAATGGTGGCAACTATGAATAATTTTACAACAGAGCTTATCAGGTGATGGAAGTAGCACCTGAGCTACTGTGCAAAGGCCCTGAGGCTATAGCACACCTGCTGTTCTCTAGGACCCATAGAGAACCAGTGTAATTGGAGAAGAGAGAAGAAAGGAGACAGAGTGAGAAAGGAGGCCACCAAGATGATGAGGAACTCAGACCGATTTTTATTCAGCAAGAAATTATCTAACACTAGACATGACCAGAAGCTCCACAAGCCAGTGACTGTGTCAAATTTGTTTACCTTTTTGTACCTTGCAAAAACCCAGTAGCACACCTGGTTAAAGCAAGCCCTCCATTTACATTTAACTGAGGAATGAACAGGTATGAAGATTTAGTGGGCCTCCAAAATATCAGTCACATAGCCAAAAGTTAGCCTGGGAAACCCAGCCCCCCCCCCCCACACACACACAGTTTCTAGCAGCATGAGCATGAGAGGATCACTTTACATCTGAGTTTTGGTATCTTTACTTACAAGCTAAAGATCATGTAACCAACCATCTCCAGCAGAGTAACTGGGAGGCTCAGATAAAACATGCCCAGTGCTGCAAACTGAAAAGGTCCGAAAGATGAGTTTGCCATGGGGGAACTGTCTGGTTATTTAAGCCAATGCTTTACAAAATCAAGTTATTTTACTTTAACTGATCATCAGATTAACTGGGTGGGTCATAACCAACTTTAAGAGAAAAAAATGTACAGCCACTAAGTATGACTTTGGGTAACGTGTGCTTGATTTATATTTTTGTGCTTGGTTAGGTATCAATCTAATGAGGGTTTGGTGTCAAAAGTCACAAAGCTACTGTGAGGGGTATAAAGCCAAGAGAACAGGCGTGTGTGTACAGGGGTGAAGAGTAAGGCAAAGGCTCTACCCTGGGAATCAACGTAGGATTTGAAATCTTACTACTTACTACTTGTGCAACATTTACAATTACCAGAGCTCTCTAATGTCCAATCTTCTCTTCATCTGCAAAGACATGCTTCACTTGCCCAGTAGTATAATAAACAAAAACTATACAACATTTAACTGGCCATTTAATTCACCATTTAAAAAGCTGGCCCAGTGTGGTGGTGCACGCCTACAATCCTAGCACTGAGTTCAAGGCCAGCCTCAACTACAAGTCAGACCTTGTCTCAAAAAAAAAGAAATCTTCCTTATGTTGCACAGTTTATTTTGTATATAACAGGTGCATGTACATTTTTCAAGAGCATACTGAGTGCCTAATAGTTATAGTAACCACAATGGTTAAATAAAGGTACCAAATTTGGGGTTCCTGATACATAACTGAGCTAAGAGGTTTATATTTTGAGTCTCACTCATGTTTCTAAATAAGCTGACATGACAAGCAGTATCATCACTCTCTTTCATTCTGATATGAAGTTTGAAGCTCAGAAAGGGTAAATATCTTGCCAGCTGTCACAGTGAAGTGTACAGCCAGGATGTGAACCCCGGCAGTTTGGTTCCAGAGTCTATGCTGGTCATTGCTTCTTATGCAGCTTCCAGTATGTATGTGTTGCATGCGAAGTTCTGAGCTAGACACTGTATGTGTGGATGGGTGTGTAGATGTGTTATCACTTTAGAGCCTTCAGTCCAGACCAGGACAGGAGGAATGCGGGTATCTATCCATGCAACAAGACAGAGGTAGTACAGTACAAAGAAGGAGCACAGGATAAACAGGTTTTTTAATAAACCTTCTTTTTCAGACCAACACTATTAACATGTGAGATACAGAGCGGACAGGAAAGATTGCTTTGGTTCTTAGAATTCAAGAACTAAGAGATTTACAAAAAGGTCACATAAATGTTGGCGGCAGAATGCAGACGGTAAGACAGAGCTGCCGACATCCAGCCCATGGTTCTTCAGGGGGATTCTGATAGAAAACAAGCCTAAAATTAGCATCTGTCTCTGCTGCACATTGAAGGGAACCAAAACACTTGTTTTAAAAATTATTTTTAAAACTAACAGATGGCATCGGCCACAGAGAGAGAAGTAAGGGAGAGATTTCACTTGCTTGATTTCTGCCTGGATTAATACCACTTGCTCCCTGAACTCTCTAGTCAGAATCCCCAAAACTGGAGATGGCTCCACTGTGGAGCATGTTTTGTGGTCCATTTCTACCAGTAACCATATGTGAGGGAGCCCAGAGATCCATTACCCTTGAACTATACTGTGGTTGAACACTGTGCTATTAAATGTTATGGTTGGCATCTCACTGTCCTTTCATTTCTGAGCACCTAATGATAACTGGTCTGTGCCAGGCCCTGGTGCTGCTGAGAATAATGCGTGGTGCTGGTGTTAAGGATTCGTCAGACAAGCAATAGGGATGAGATACATTTACAAAAGGCATTGTTTCCCAAAACGGGTTTAAAGATAATTTTAGGTAGTTTATAGATGCATATTGTTTTATCTTTCTAATTGTGTTTGCCTTAATGCCTGGTGTGGAAAGCATAACTAAGCATGTTAAGCTCTTGATTTTATATCTATTATTGCTGAAAAAGGGGAATATAATACTTGGAAGCAAGTAAGAGAAAGAGTCAAGTTTGGGTGGGACAAGAGGACATCTAAATGTGAAAGGTAAAGGAGAAAACAGAATTTCAGTCATCTCCCAACCAGCTTCAAGATCTCACATAAGTTTGTCTAACTTAAAATATTTTCAGAAAATATTTTTATTTATACACCATTAAAAATTTAAAATTTCATAGCAAAGCCACAAATGGAATTCACTGTTTCTGTAAAAAGTAAACTTGTATCTGGAATATATCATCTCTACACTATTTCCAGCCTGGCTTCAGAAATCAATTCC